TCATTGAGGGAAGAGAGGCACTTTGGCATATTGGATAGAGAGCCAGCCTCAAAGCTGGGAAGATCTGGGTTTAAGTACCACCTCTGACTTATATTCATCGTGTGACCATGGGCAAGGCACTGAAACTATGAGCACTAGACCAAGCACTAGACTAAGACTGTCAGTTGCCAAGGAAATGCTAACTTTCATTGGTAGGAAAAATTTCCCTACCCAGGAGTTCCCTGTACTAATGAAATCACAGGTCCAGGCCTATCCCCATCCCATTAAGGTAAAGATCAAGGAAAGTAGAGTTAAGACAGAATTGTTTCAATTTTCAGGCAATAAAAATCCTTATCAGAAACTTGAGCCTCCTTTTATCTGACAGTGATGTCAATGAGGAGCTGTTGTAAAATGACTAGAGCTATTGAATTAGTTATTCAGTTTGTTGTTGTTGGTCCTTCACTTCTGAAGAGGATCAATGCTGTGATGTTAGGGTCAGGGTACAGTGTGTTCAACTATGGCTGATCAGTTCAATACAAGTTCTCAGAAGGCTGTACCACAGGTTGGGCACAGGTAGTCTGTTAGAACATTTGGGATGGAGATGTCTCTGGAATACATCTCACGCTTCCTTTGAGCTACAATGATTTTACTTTTTGCTTACAGAGTGTAGTGCCTTCTTTGATGTGGCCATATCACATGCTGGGTGGTCCTGTGCCAACATCTCCCATGTCCTACAATTTCTACTAAAGTTCTTCAGAGACTTTAAGAGAGTCCTTGTGCCACTTCTTCTGACCTCTGTGTGAGCGCTTGCTTTGTGTGAATTGTCTGCAAAGTAGTCTTTTAAGTAAGCATGGGTTTGGCATTTGGGCTTACACAGCCAGCCCCTTGGAGTTGTGCTGTCTGCAGTAGAGTTAGAATTGTTGGCAGTCCAGCTCAAGAGACGACCTTGGTGTCCAGTGCCGTATCTTGTCAGGTAATCTTCAGAATCTTCCTAAGACAGTTCAAGTGGAAGCAGTTCAGTTTTCGGACATGCTATGTTGTCTATATTTCGTAAGCATACAGCGGTGAGGTCAGCACAATGGCTCTATAGACCTTCAATTTCGTATGCATCCTAATACCTCAGTTACTCAGTAGTAGATATGCAAAAGCAGAATAGATTTGCTGATTTGGGATCCTTGTGCAGCTTTAAAAAATATAGAGTAATAGAGTAATTGAGGCAGCTAGGTGGCACAGTGCTTAGAGCAACCAGGCCTGGAGTCAGGAAAACTTGGATTGGCATTGATAATCTCCTTGGATTTTCTTTAGTCTTCTAGATTTTACTCTAAATCAGGGGTGGGGAACCTGATGCCTCAAGGCCACATGTGACCCTCTAGGTCCTAAAGTATGACCTTTTGACTGAATCCAAACTTCACAGAACAAAGGATTGGACCTTGAGGGCCTAAAGGGCCACATGTGGCCTCAAGGCCGCAGGTTCCTCACCTCTGCTCTAGATGTTTACCTTACAAGTTCAAGAGACTTGTTAGATGATAGTTGTCCGAGTTTTGTTTATTTTTCTTTTTATGGGTAGGAAAGACAGTACTTGGTTTCTTCTCAGCAGGGAAAGCTCCTGTGCTGTTAGATTGAGTGAATAATTTAGCCAGAACTGGAAATCACCAGTGAAGGAATTGTTTAAATATCTCTAGGGGCAGCATATCCTCTTCTGTTATCTTGCCTGGAAAAAGAAATTTAATGAGGCCTTTAAATTTGCCTCTGCAAATAATGTGGTCTTATTATCATGTTAACTAGGGTACACTGAATCATATTTATGTCTGTTAGAAATTTGGAACTGAAAAAGTGAGGGAACCCTCAAAATTTTACTATAGTAATTATTCCAGATATTGATATACCTATTAGATATGTATCAATTTAATTTATTAGGCAGGTAATATGAAGTAGTAGTAATTATAAAGAATGAATATGACCTCATCAAGAACACATCATTCCAGAGTAACTTAATTTCCTTTTTTGACAAAGTAGGTCTAAGGAGTAATATAAATACGTTTACCTAGATTTTGGCATTGCATTTGGCAAAGCTTCTCATCTTCTGTGGGTAAGTTGCAGAGATGTAGATGAGGTGATCATACAGTTAGGTTTATTTAGACTTGCTGAATGACTAAACCTAAAGAGTAGTCATTGAGGGTCATTCAGTGGACCCAATAGAGTATAGTACTCTACTGGAGCACCCCAAAGATATGTCCTATTCCCATCACCATTTACTATGTTTCTTAGTTATTGAATAAAAAAAAAAGTAGATTACTTGCTTGTCAAATTTTCAGATGACACAGTCAGTAGGGATAGCTTCTGTCTTACTAGGGTGAGAGTTAAGATCCAAAAATCCTATCAGTCTAGAATCTTAGGTGAAATTCAATATGACAATCTCTTCCAAATTTCCCTGCGTTTTTTGTGATTGATACCACCATGCTTCCTGGTGCCCTGTTTGCAACCTTGAAGTAATGCTTGCCTCTTTATGTTCTGTCAGCTACCAAGCTTTGTTGATTCTTTTTTTGTTCAGTCATTTTTTCAGTTGTGTCTGACTCTTTGTGACTCCATTTGGGGTTTTCTTGGCGAAGATACTAGAGTGGTTTGCCATTTCCTTCTCCAGCTCCTTTTTCAGATGAGGAAACTAAGGCAAACAGGATTAAGTGACTTGCCCAGAATCACACAGCTAATAAGTACCTGGGGCCAGATTTGAACAAGATGAGTCTTTCTGACTTGAGGCCTGACACTTTATCCAATGTGCCACCTAACTGCCTTTTGTTTATTCTAACAGTTCAATTCAGCAAACATATGTTAAGCTTCTACTAAGTGCAAAGTGTTGTGCCATTAGGGACACATAGACAAACTAAAATTGGCCTAGCCCTTAAGATGCTTACATTCAGCTAAGTGAAGGTAGGGTGGGAGAAGAGTCAACCTGTATCCATTAAAATAAATATACAATATATGCAAGATAAATTCAAAAGGAAGAGAGCTAATGGGGACTGGATGGGGGCTAGGTGACAGAAGAACCGGAGACCTCACATAGTAGTTAGAATGTGATCTATTCTTTGGGAAAAACAAAAAAACAAGCAATAGATTCTGTGAAGAGGTGATTGGAGACCACTTTTGCAAAGACCTCTTTTTGCAAAGGAGATGGAAAATGGTATATGAGGGACAGCTAGCAGGCCAGTTTGACTAGAACAGAGAGTGTGTGGGCCTTAAAATCATGCTATGTACAAATATGTTGAAAGAACTGGGAATATTTAGCCTGAGGGAGAAAAGACTAGGTGAAATGGAAAGAAAAAAGGAAGATGATAGCTATAGCTATGTTAGCTATAGTTATCTTCAGATAAGTATCTTTAGGTATTTATGTTGTTGTCATACAAAAGACAAATCTGAAATGTTCTGCTTTTGCCCTGGAGGACAAAACTAAAAAGCCGGGTAGTGGGAGTGACAGAGGGAAATTTCAACTTGATGGTGATCTAAGCCATCTTTTTTTGTTTTGTTTTGTTTTTGGTTTTTGGTGAGGCAGTCAGGATTAAGACTTGCCCAGGGTCACACAGCTAGTAAGTGTCAAGGATCTGAGACTGAATTTGAACTCTGGTCTTCCTGACTCCAAGGCCAGAGCTCTATTCACTGTGCCACCTAGCTGCCCTTATCCAAGCTATCTTAATGGGGAAAGAAGTACCTTGGAAAGCAATAAATCCCTTTTCCTTAGAAAGCTTCATGTAGAGCCTACATGGCCGACCACCTTTTGGTGATATTTAGATTTGGTTGGACTAGAAGGTTTCTGTTGTCTCTTTCAGCATAATTTCTGTTGCTTACTTGGGTTTTAACTTTATTTCTCCTGTCCTTCCTATATTCATTAAAAAACAATTCACCATTTCATACATTGTTAATGAGTTGATTTGTTTTCCTTGACCATGCTTATTTGTTAATAAGATGTGGTGGAAGGAGTGTCATTGGGAGTGACAGTGATGCAGAAATGGATAAATGAACAAATAAGTGAATGAATGAATGAAAGCAGAATCACTAAAGACATTAAAAAAACAAAGTCCTTCTGAAAGATCCTGAAGGAGAAAATTGTTGCCTCCTATGATCTAACAGTGATACGAGGTTCTAAGGGTAGATTGATAAGTATTTATAACTTCTTTATCTGTGACTAAGTGAAATGAGGCTACTTTTATCTGAGGTCTTGGAAATAAAGAGACAATGAAGCACTGGGTTTTCCTTCCCTAAATTGGCTTCCAGCTAACAAAATTTGCTAGGGAGATTGTGAGGGTTTGTCAGAGATTAAGAAAACTAAAATGAATTCCTAGTGATTATATTAATTCCTATTCACAATTTAAAAACTATTAGTAACTGAGAATAATGGAAAAGAAACTGATATATTCCAAGGAGCAGTTTGTCCTGCCAAATAAGAAAGCATAAATTCCAAAGAAGCTATCCTTGCTGGTCCTATGCAGCCAGTACAAATAAAATGTAAAATGAGAAATATATATACATATGTACATATAGTGATTGCCAGTAGAAAACTAAATTTTAGCTTTTGGAGCAGTTCTAAACCCCCCAACCCCCAGGGGGACGGGAAACAGCATCATGAAAGCAGTAGCTTTAGCTGAGAACACACGAAGATACCTGTTTTTTCTCTTTAAGCCTAAGTTCTCTGATTGAAAATGTCAATGCATGGAGCTAGGAAACTCCCCCTTCTCCCTCCTCTCCCTCCTCTCCATCCTCTCCCTCCCCTCATGGCTAGTGTTCCACATTTTTATTTTTCTTTCTCAGTGGTTGTATCCTTGGCCTAAATTGTCTCAGTTTATTAGATGGCATGTTCTTCAGTAATGACTGTTCAGAATCTTAAATGTGTCGTCAACTAGCATGTCTAGTAAACTTATAAAAAAAAAATCTATTGATCTAATCCTTTAATAGTTACATTTTTGTTATAAGCTTTTCTTGGCATGTGTTCTATCTTGACTAAGTTGTTCTTCCTTTTTGTCTTTTTGCAGCATTAGTCACTATGTCATTGTCATGTGTATGACCATCTTCCTGGTCTTACTCAGTGGACTGGCACAACTCCTAACAACAAAGAAAATCAAATTGTGGGGAAAAACCAAGCCCCACTTCATGTGATGTTGCTGCAGATTTCCGATGGCACCTGGATTTCATTCAGCCTCTTCTACTTCTATACTTCTATTTTTAAACTCTAATTTAGGAGGATTGACATGTCATAAAATCCCATCAAGGATTCAACATAATTTAGTTTTGGAAGATTAATAATGGTGTATAACATTTTCTGCTCCCACAAAGGGCAATACATTTGGAGCTCTAAATCTAGAGATATCTAGAATTAAGTAGTTTCCTTTTTTGAAGTTAAATTTTTGTTAAAAAAAAGTGTGGTTATGTCTTTGAAAAAACCATCATGAAAGTATTCTTCATCTTCATTTTTTCCCTTTAGCTGCAGCTTTTCTTCCAATTGTTGATATGCTGCACCTGCAGAAAGCTGGCTTTTGTCTGAGAATAAATACAGCCCTTACAGGACAGCTGTAGGTATACTCTATGAAGATTTTATTAACATATTTCTTGTGCTGATTATATCCCAAACTATAACTGTGACTGAACTTTGACATATATCACCAGGTAGCACCATAGTATTTATCAATATGTAAAATTAGCTTTGAGGCCATATTTTCTAATTGGCTGAATTGACACATTATTTAATTCTTCTGGTCTTCAAAAGATCTCTGATTTCCTTAGTGTGATTGGCCAAAATATTTCTCATCACCTGGTGGCCAAATTTTGGTGATGGGAATTTTTGTTTTCAGCCAGATTAGGTATTATAAGAGTCTACTGGGTCAGTACTTGAAAGCTTTCCATTCTGATATGAATTGATAGAGTCAAGAGTACTGTGTCTAACTAGAAACCAGAGTTTCCAGACCACAAGGAGGCATCAAAATAGGACTTTAGTTGAGGTTAAGGTTTACTGAAATAGAAAGGTTGGCTGTTGATATTTTTGTACACAGGATTCAGTAGGAAGAGTACAGTCTTTAGAATGAAAAGATCTGGGTTCAAATTCTACCTCAGATTCTTACTATCTACAAGACTTTGGGCAAGTCATTTAATCTCCCTGGGGCTTAGTTTCCTTACCTCCAAAAGAAAGAGGTTGATCTAGATCAAGATTTTTTTCAATTTCAATTTTTATTTTTAACATTTATTTTTAAATTTTTAGTTCCAAATTCTCTCCATCTCTCCAGTCCTTCCATCCCCACCTATTGAGAAGGCAACCAATATGACACCAATTATACATGTGAAGTCATATAAAACACATTTCCATATTAGCCATGTTACAAACAAAAAGGCAAGAAAAATAAAGAAAATGAAAAAAGTATGATTTAATCTGCACTCAGACTTCATCATTCTTTCTGTGGAGGTGGATAGCATTTTTCATGATGAGTTCTTTGGAATTGTCTTGGATCATTGGATTGATTAGAGTAGCTATCTTTTGCAGTTGTAGATCAAGATTTCTTAACCTTTTTTTTGCATCATAGATCCCTGTGGTAGTCTGGTGAAAACTACAGACCCGCTTTTCAGACTAACTACGCAAAACACACAGGAAGACAAAGGAAACAAATTACATTGAAATACAGTTACTAATTTTTTTTTTAACAAATTCATGGGTCCCATGTTAAAAACTTCAGATCTAATCAATGAACATATGCAATGTAGGTAGCTTCTGAGGTTCCTTTTAGCTCTAAATCTGTGTTTATATGATCCTTTTCCTCTCCCCAAATCCTACCAAATGTAGTGAGGAAAAAGCAAATTTGTCCTCTTAAATCTAATTAGAAAGGAATAAGAGACCTTTTCATGGGTAGATTTAATCTGGTGGATCTTCTCAGATCAGCAAAATAGAAAAGGTTTAATATTTTGTAAAATGGAAAATCTTTTGATTTAGAATCAGAAGATATGTGTTCAAGTCTCAGCTCTGACCACAAGCTAGCTATGGCACTGTGGAAAAAGTGAGCAACCTCTTAGAGTCTGTCTCATAGAATCAAAAATTATGTCCACAAAGGTCATGCAGTCCAGTTCCCTCACTTTACAATTGAGAAAATATGGTCGATTTCATCATAAACAAAATGATGGTGCTATCTCACATTTATAGGTATTGAGGTTGACAAATTTATCTAACACTCAAGAATTTTGAAAGAAGTGCTTTGTAAACTTTAAAACATCATATAAATGAAAGAAGTGTAAAAAGGCTTTACCATCATAGAACACTTAATACATTTGATAATCTTTTTCTGTGAGTTAAATTGTAAACTACTTCATTGTCAAACTAAAAGAGCCATGTTTCAGTTGAGTCCAGCAAACATTTATGAACTACTTATGCTTCCATATACTTGTACTACAAATACTTGTAAAATATTTGTGGAACACTGTGATTGTCAGGAGATACAAAGTGTATCTCAAACCAGAGTCCTACCATCATGAAGCCTATGGTCAGTCTAATAGGGAAATGCAATACGTTTGTAGATAGAATATAAATTCCTTTAAGGGTAGAGACCATTATCATTTTTGTCTTTACATTGCTCCAGCCTAGCATGTTATAAGCACTTAATAAATGCTTGTTCATTGATTCATATTCTTATAACTATAATGCACAAGAGGTACATTAAAAATCTAGAAACCAAGGTGTTGGTGAAGTCCAAGATGGAAACAGTTTCTGAATAAATCTAAAATACTAAAACTTACGGTGAATATTAAAAAACTGGACTGCTGATGTTTTCTGGCTATGAAATTACAGCCCAAAGCCTAAATATCCTTTCATTAAATTTAGGTTATCATCTGTAAACCAATAGAATATGTTGAGAGCAATTCTTATTTGGTCTTGCCATAAAGTAACCTTTCTAGATTGCCATAGGTTTGGGCTTTTGCTCTGGACATCATTATTCTCTTTGGCATAACATTCATGTGTCCAAAAGTGAGAAAAGAATAACTAAAAAGTTGACTTGGGCTGATGTGAAGCTTTTTTGACATGAGACCCATTTTAAAGAAGGAATTTCTTTTGAATTAAATTAGAATGTTGCTAATTCACAGTAATGACTAGAAAGCCCACTGAAGATTACTACATTTTTCAACTTGTTGGGTGAGTGAGCAAACATAATTTAGAAGATTTAGGGAATCAGTTTGGTAAAATGTTCTTTGTTCCTTTCTCCTTAGAATTGTATCTTGGTTTCAAATTATTTATGGTAATGCTGCAACACACACCAGCCAGGACATTATACAGTGTATCTGTATATATAAATACATATGTATAGATTTTGATTTTGACCATGTTAAAATAAGACCTTGGGTATGATCTTTAATCAGTTCCAAGAATTAAGATGATATTGTTGTATTTTTGGTTCAGATGTACTTAAGGATTAGTGAAATTTTTTCATGCCCCTGAGGACTTTTTGGTCAGTTTTTCTACAAATAGAAGAAAGCTGTTCTTATAAATATTTATCTTGTGTAACTCAGTTTAAATCCAAATCTGCCTTATTTACTCTTCTCTTCCTCTGCCCCTAAATTCTCACACAAAGGAATGAATGCATATCTTATCTCTGCATTGTAAAAGGTGCAGTATGTTTTGTCCAGAGCATTATTGTGCTAATCAAAACATGTCTCTTATAATATGGAAGCAGTGTGTGATTTTACCAAAAGGGAAACATTCAGAGGAAATTCTGGTTTTACATTGCAATAATCTATAAATAGGTTCCTCTGATTCACTTAGATAACTGACTTAGCTGCAGGGACCTTCCCTGTTTTGTGGTTTACAAAATGTCTTGGGAAATACTGAAATGTAGATTTTGTATTTTTATACCAAATGGCTAAGAAAAAATAAATAAGGTTTCATTGAAATTTGAGTGTGGGCAACTCTAATGCTACATCCCGTAAGAATCTCTTACTGAATTCTAGTCTTTGCTATGCTAGATTTTCATTTTAGGTTCTAGGATTTTTGCCAACATTATTTTCATTATTAGGGTATACCAAAGGCAATTAAAACATTCTTTTAAAGTTGAAACTATGTTGACCAAGTAGTAGAATATAGTTGTAGCCTCAGTGTTTTTATTCTCTACCTCATAGAGCTGTTTTAAGGTTCAGATGTGTATTCAAAGCGCTTTATAAACTGTAAAGCTTTATACAAATGGACGTTATTTATTTCCCCAAAAGCAATTTTTGAATAGTAGTTAAGTTTCCAGGATATTCTACAAAAGTCCATTAAAACCGTTATGTAGGAGAATTAAAGAACTTAACTACCAGTTGTCACATCATTCGGTATGAAAGTCGTGATTGTCAACTTTGATCACTGGTAGATATCTTTTCTTCTCCATTCCTCAAGCTTAATGCAGCCTTGGAAGTGAGAGCTAAGTTTTCCTTCTCTGATTTAGCATCTAGATAAAAGAGAAAGGAAACAGGGTAGAAAGCAAAGGACTGCAGAGATGGTGAAGGGAAGGCAGAAGGTTGTTGTAGACCGAAAGGAAGGGAAGGGAAAAGGAAGTGGCCATTCCCTCAGAGCCTTTGACAAAGAGGCAGATTTTCATTATTGAGTACTTCCTGCCCTCATATCTGGATGAGTATTCAATGAAACAATTTGCTAGATTATAAAAGTGTAATGTTCCCATTTTATTGGTATTCATTTAGGTGGGATTGTTATTATGGTATATGTTTCCAGTGTTTGTGGCAGAATTTTGTTTTTGGCAAGCAGGCCTTTTTTTTTTTTAAACTGTCATTACTTTGAAAAATTTCACTTATTAAATTAATTTTAGAAAGAACGATACAGGGAATTTTTGAGTTTGAAGATATCATGCATTCAGTCCACTTCCCCTAAATTTTTAGGAATTGGATTATAGTTTTCACTTGCTGTGTTTTTCTGAATAATGCATTTATTTGCTTTACCAGAAATAAGGTTGCAGTGAATTTTTTTGGTTAATTGAAGACCACCTCAAAAACAATTTGGAACATTTATAAAAAATGCATGAAGTTTCTACTGATAGTGTCACTGTATTGTATGTAATTTAATTTAATCTCTATGAAAAAGTAAGATCTTGTAAGGTTACTTGGGTTTTGCAGAGTGTTTATAGGAGAGATGAGCAATTGTACAGAGTTTTTATACCATAGAAATTTAAAAAAAAATAAATTTCCAGTCTCTGTTTTCTCCTAAATTGTCTCTTTCCTTTTTGAAATTATCCTTTTTGTTTTCTTTTTGGTGAGGTGATCTCAGGGTTAAGTGACTTGCTCAGAGTCACACAGCTAGTAAGTGTTAAGTGTCTGAGGCCAGATTTGAACTCAGGTCCTCCTGACTCCAGGGCTGGAGCTCTATCTACTGGGCCACCTAGCTGCCCCATGCAATTACCCTTTTTAAAATTTCTTATTAATTGGGTTACAGTTTCAAGGTGTAAGTGTGTAAGGATTATGAATTTATCAAAATTTTCTGTATTCAATTGTGATTCATCCAAAAAAACCCCAAAAATCTAATGTCAATAGGCTAAAGGAAAATTTTTGCAGCATAAATTCTTTTAGGAATTTAGTCAATCAATAAACATTTATTAAGGGCCTACTCTGTGCCATGCACTGTGCTTAGAGCACATTTACGAAAAGAGACAAAAGATAATCCCTTCCCCCACCAAAGGAACTTAAAATCTAATGGGGGAGACAACATGCAAATAAATATATACAAAGCAATCTATATATGGAATAACTAGGAAATAATTTAAAAGAGAGAAAGCCCAGGAATTAAGAAGAGTTGGGGAAGCCTTCCTGTACAAGGTTGGATTTTAGTTGAGACTGAAAGGAAGCCAGGGAGGAGAGAAAGCATTGCATGCATGGGGGACAGCCAGAGAAAATTCTTAGAGCTTGATTGTGTATCTGATACTCCCAATTAGTTGAAGTATTTCAGTTTTTCTTTTAGTATTATCAGCTTGTTAGAAGGACAAGAATATTGTCACTTTCAAAGTAGAGGATATAGAGCCTTGAATATTAAGTAAAAAAGAACAATAAACTATAAATGAGAAGCTTTGCTTAAGAAATTAGAAATCCTAAACTTGAATCCTGGTCCCACAAAGGTGCCCCTCCACCTAGCACTTTAATCTTCCTTGATCTTTCTGATAGGATGTTGTAAAAAATATGTTTTATTCCTACAAAGAAACATTTTTTAAAATATCCATGAAGATGACTTTTTTATTCTTTTTTTCATTTTCTAGATTTTCTTCTG